TTTAGTACTGTTCATGTCAGTGGTGGGGTTCAAAATTTGGAACCTCTTCTGTAGGTGTGGCCTGCTTTCCGGGTCCACTGGTAGAACCTCTTCTAACCGGTTCGGTAGATTTGATGAACCGGTTCTATCGAATAGGTGCGAACTGGTAGGAACCCACCTCTGGTATGTATGTATGTATAAAATTAAATATTTTCAGACAGTGAAATAATTTTAATTGACTTCTCTTGCATGTCTGCCATAATAACCATGAATAATTTGGGTCCATATAGAAGAGGTCATCAGGAAAAAGATAAGTTAACAACATGAACAGTTTTTCTAATGGTTCCATTAAGATTATGGGAGAAAATTAAAAACTTTTAAAAACAATATCTAATACTAGTAAGTTCAATTATGTTCATGAAATAATAAATAAGCATTGAAATAAATTAGAGAAAACATGGCAATGAAGTTTTCTTTCTTTGTACACTTTCATTGTGGGCAGTTTGTAGCCACTGATGTGGGCCAGAAGTGATAATGTCAGTAACAGAATATTTTCCTTGGACAAAATCAAATAGTTTCCCAAACCTGGCCATAGGCAATGACTTTTAGTGAGGTCTTGATTCCTGCATACATCCACTCTATTAAATAATGGTTATTTGTGGTACTGTAGTTTTAAAACTAAATCTCTGGGCGAGTCTAATTATATTGTCTGGATCCCAATCATGCAATAAAATGTGTTTTACGAATACAATAGTTGGATTAGCTCATTGTACTATACTGAAACCTTACAATCCAAACAGCACAATATATGAACGTATCTTTAGTGGGTCATTGCATGTACTTTGAATTCATATTATTTGCATTATTTCATATTATATGGCCAGCTTAAGATCACTTTGTAAATTGCCATTTTTTCCTGGCAACAGAGGTCAGACACCTCTCTTTACTTTTAAACAAATCACAGCTCCTAACTTTGATTTCTTTCAAATTAAAGTTTTAAATAACAAGGCAGGACTTGAGTCATGATTTTAAATTTTAAATTGTTTGCTAATTAGAATACCTACATTTATTTCAATTCAAATACTAATGTACAGTAGTTCATTAACATGAGAAGTAGATGAGTTTTGTCCTCATGGATACAAAACAGGAAGAAGAGTACGTGGGTGGCACACTGCATTAAGGATTCATGTTTTGCTTATTTTAATATAGCATAACACTCCAGCCAGTTTGCTTAGTAGTGTAGTTAAGCCACCAGGCTAAAAATCTTCATTCTAATCTCATTATGTGGTTTATTAGCCTATCTGTCATTTAAAAATGTTTTTGCATGATCTTTAGATATTTTTTACATTCTTAACATTTTTATACTGAAAATGAATATGAATATGAAAATGAATATTGCAAGCAATGTATGTGCTCTGTTTATTTGATCTTAGTTTAACACATTTCATGTGCAATGAAATATATCCATTTGCCATTTTATGGATATATACTGAGAGCCAGTTTGGTGTAGTGGTTAGGATTAGGCAAGAAACCAGGCAATTGTGAGTTCTAGTCCCACCAGCAATGGCAAACCAATTGAGGAGGGGGGACCCTTGCCAAGAAAACTGCAGAGACTTGTTCAGGCAATCTCTGAGAATTGGATATTATTGAATGGAAACAGGAAGAAAATCATGTTATGCAGGCAAAATGTCCATGCATAAAAGAGTTGCAGATCAGGATATTTAGGCCTAGGAGATAATCCTTTCTTCCTTATTCATCTGTAAAATCTCAATTTTACTGTCTATATATGTATGTGTGATATATGTATGCAAATACTACTCTTGCACATTTTAAGAAGTTCCAAAGGTACTGCCAATCTTATTGTTATAAGGCAACGGAACAAATACCAGCAATTTGTTTTGTAATGTAATTCTGATTTGTTACCAGAGCAAATTGCTAAACATGCCTTTCAGGTTCCAAAATTAAGTGCCCCGGCGTTTTAGTATAAGTTATTTCCTTTCCCAACTGATGTAATATAACTTGCCATTTACAATGCTTATAAAATTCCAGGAGTTGGAGAGACAAATAAAAGTCAGAGATGAAGTAACATCAGGAACTAATTTTGCTGTGCAAAGTCTGGACCATAAACACCTGCAGGGGGTTGGGGACCTACGTGGAAGAGTAGCCAGGTGAGTTGATGGGAGCTACCTTCTCACAGATTGATAAACCATGTTTTAATCTAAGTGAGCACAAGCCCATATGCTTCTCCTTCCTGCACATTGCAGTTTTGAGGAGAAAATAATGTTTTCTTTAGGATTTGTTTAAACATAACACTGCACCTAAAGTTGAGACAGAGAATTCAAACAAAAATAATTTTGTCCTTAACTTTGAAGAATGTTTTTTCTCTTACCTTTATCTTTGAAAGAAATTAGAAATATTGTATGGTTGTCTCTGCAGCCACTAATGTACATGTACCCCTCACTTACCAGCTGCCTTGTGCAGCAACCATTTTGAAGTTGCAATGGTGCTAAAAAGTAACTTTGCAACCAATTCTCACATTTATGACTAGAGTATTGCAGTGTCCTGTAGTTACGTTATCACCATTCATGTGGTTTGCAACTGGTTTTCAACAAGCAAAGTTAATACAGAAAGTGGAAGCAAAATTGTAACAGAATAAAAGAGTTGGAAGGGATCTTAGATTTCTTCTAGTCCAACTCCCTACTCAAACTCTATATCATTTTAGACAAATAGTTGTCCAATCTCTTCTTAAAAACTTCCCGTGTTGGAGCACCCACAACTTCTAAAGGCAAATTGTTCCACTAATTAATTGTTCTGTCAGGAAATTTCTCCTTAGTTCTAGGTTGCTTCGTTCCTTGATTAGTTTTCATCCATTGCTTCCTGTCCTGCTTCCAGGTACTTTGGAAATAGGTTGATTTTTCACATAGCGACTGCATCACTTTGCTTAATGATTGAAGGTTGTAAGGCCATCATGGTCATTTGATTGTTTATCACCAAGTTGCTAATGCCAATTGTGATCATTAAGCAAGGTCTACCTTGCTTAAGTAAAATTACTAAGTAAAATTACTATAGAAGTTGGCATATAAATCAAATCAGTGGACTTAGAAGCACACTGTCAGAATTAAATATACTTAATACAGTCAGTAGGGTTGTGGCTGCATAAAAAAACAGGCATTTGAATTTGTTTTTTAAACTATTCCTATGGATAGCCTTGAATAAAGTAGTTTGACAATGAAAATAATAGAATTTTTCTATATGATTGTTAGAACATCTGATGATTTATGGTTTGAAGTTTAGCCAATGACAATTTCTGATATTTATTAGTTTGCTTGTTTGTTTTAGAGGAACCAAGAGCTGGAACACAAATCTCTAAGATCAGCAGAAACCCCTGTCATAGTTGCACCAGTACTTGTATTTATACAATCTATATTTTAATGAAGCCGAGTATGAATAATTACTCTTGAGCTAAGCTAGAGGACATTGAAATGATTTATACATCCATGTAAGCACTTTTTGCATATCACTTGCTTACAGTGTTAACCTAAAGAAAGACTGAGGTGGCCTATGTATTTTCCAAGAATAAAAAATATTACCAGCAAAATAAATTAAAGAGATTTTTTTCTTTTATTTTTTTCTACCCTTATAAATTGAAAGGTGTCCAGAGTCACTCGGGTGTTCTCGAAATGAGTATGTATGTATGTATGTATGTATGTATGTATGTATGTATGTATGCATGCAGGGACGTGCAGTCCCTGGAGGCAGGGGAGGTGGGGCCTCACCAGTCTCATGAGGAAAAGGAAAGAATTTT